TCGTTTCAAACGCGGGTTCGTANATTTTATTCCAATTGTGCAAGCCACCACTATTGAAAAAAGCAGCTTAACTACACACACAACACAACAACTAAGCACACCAATCGAAAACAGACATATGTACATACATATATATAGCAAGTGCGAGTTCTTGTATAGAACACTGCTATATGTATACCTGTATAGGTGCCTTTTTATATTTATGTACGTGTGTACATACAAACGTTGATTCTAGCTTTGTATGTATCTATCTTTTAGAAAATCTGCACAACTAGACAAAAATTTCGTTTCAAACGCGGGTTCGTATTCTCGCCGCCGAGCAGCACCTTTTCAACAATTCTAGTTGGATTGGATCGTAGTGGATTGCATTCGGATGTCGTTTACTCTTGCATTTGGCTGTGTATTGTATGTATTTTCTTTTTTTTTCAGCAAATACTTCTAGTTAGAACTAAAAATAAGTAATTTCTTATAAATACATATCTATTGGGCTAGCGTTGTATTTTAACATTTTATTTATGGATTTTTTTATTTTGTTTACACAATATGTATTTCATATCTGCTCTCTCCCTTCTAGGGGTTTATGTTTCTAATTTAGTTATTAATTTGTTTACTTTGCAATATTTTTTNTTATAAATACATATCTATTGGGCTAGCGTTGTATTTTAACATTTTAATTATGGATTTTTTTATTTTGTTTACACAATATGTATTTCATATCTTCTCTCTCCCTTCTAGGAGTTTATGTTTCTAATTTAGTTATTAATTTGTTTACTTTGCAATATTTTTTATGTATTATTGAAACTCACGCCGCGCCGAGCGCCGACTAACTGACGTGCGCAAACTCTCTCGGGGAACTGAACTGAACTTGGCCTCTGACGCCATCTTAGTCGGCAAGTCCAACTTGAATTTTCAACTGGAATATAAATACATAGATATTTGCCTTTCCAGTTGGATTGAAGCGGGTTGAGCGAGTGAGCGTGTGTGTGTGTGTGTGTGTGTTGCACGTTGCAAGTGATCAAAGTAGAAGTTGGTGAATCGCTCTTTGTAGCAGGTGAGCGCAGGTGAATGTTATATTGTAGAATATTTTGTACAGTGAGAAAATTTGTTGACAAATTTCACATTTTAAACAAGAAAATCTTTACCACTTTGGCTTTGAAAGACTTCAAGGAAACGCCTATAATATTATATGGAAAATATACTCATACATTTTTATAAATTCCATTCATTGTATACAATAAAATGCGAAATGTTTGGGCTTTAAAACTGGGCTATAAAACTATATACCCAATGTTGGAAGTTTTGATGAAAATTTCTTTAACTTGTCTATATTTCATACTCGCAACTAATCGGCGTGCTTCTCTGCGACTTTAAATAATCTTTGTGTTCTTACTCCCTCCCGAAACTTCTCATTAATAAAAAATAATTTTGACATCCGTACGATAAATATTACATTTGTTTTAGCAATTTAACTGAATAAAATTTTTCAAATAGCTGGCAACCCGCTTCAAAATACTTTCGACAGTAAACTTTTAAACGTCTTTAATTTTATACCCGTATTAATAATATTCCATTTATTTTATCAATTTAATTGAATAACATTTTTCAAACAGGTGAAAAATCTCCTCAAAAATATTTTCTGCAGTATAATTTCCTAAAACTCTTGATACCCATATTGCAATATTAAATTTATCTTCTCAATTAAATTATATTAAAATCTTTAAACAGGTGGCAACCTTTCCCAAAAACATTTTTGTCTGCAGACCCTCATAAAACTCATTCATTTGACAGCCATATAGCCATCTATTTATTTTATGTCATCAATTCACGTAAGCAGAAATTTTCAAACAGGCGGCAACTCTCTATTAATTTCTATATTTTATGTTATGGCAATACATCGGTGAAAACTGCATTTAATTTCATGCCTTAGTTTTGGAATTCTACGCGTACAAACATACAGGCAGACAGACCGACTAAAATTCTAAAAATGTCTGATTTGGCTTTTGTTGCTCTAATAAAGACTGCCTATATTAGTTTTTTCTTAATATCTATAATGTACAGACATCGACATGTTACAATCTTATTATAGGTATAAATAAAGGTTGTGTTTAAAGTATGATCAATGTATATTTTGAAAAAAAAAACTACACAAAAAATTTACCTTGAAAAACCTTGTGAATATTTACAAACAAATAACGTATAAGCAAAAGACACAACCGGCTTCAATTCTGATAGACGAAATTTGGAAGTACCTTTAATTAATTTCTATTCCAATGATTGGATCTAAGCCAAATTAGTATGTGACCACCCTTGTCCTTGTACCACCTTTCCAATAAAAAAAATAGTTGAAATCTGTTATCGTGGTCCAAAATTACAGGTTACATACATAAAACAAATGCCCTATCTGAGCATATTTTCAATACATTTTTATTTGAGGTAGGTGGTTTTTGGACCGAATTCTGAGATAAAGCATTTTCCAAGCAGCTGCCGAGATAGGTCGATCTTCCACTCAGCTGTCGTTATATTTTTATGCTTTGCAACTTAAATTGGTTCTAAGACTGAGTTCAGTCCTATTTTATTTAGAATCATATTTAAGTTGGTCTATTTTGAAGAAAGATTGGGAGCCGGGCATACATTTGAAATTTAATATTAACAAAAATATTCTTTACAAAAGAACTATGGTGACTTGTAGGCTTCCGAAGTTTACTCTCAGTCAACGTTTTTTTTCCTTTTGCTGAGACCTCCATTTCTCCCTCTCGCACACAGCCACACACACACAATTATATAAAAGTACTTATGTATATGAATAAATATTCGTGACTTCCAATNATTTCAACTGGAATATAAATACATACGTATTTGCCTTTCCAGTTGGATTGAAGCCGGTTGAGCGAGTGAGCGTGTGTGTGTGTGTGTGTGAGTATTGCACGTTGCAATGATCAAAGTAGAAGTTGGTGAATCGCTCTTTGTAGCAGGTGAGCGCAGGTGAGTGTTATGTTGTAGAATATTATGTACAGTGAGAAAATTTGTTGACAAATTTCACATTTTAGAAACCCAGTAAAACAAGAAAATCTTTACCACTTTGGCTTTAAAAGACTTCAAGGATACGCCTATAATATTTTATGGAAAAAATACCATGCATTTTTATAAATTCCATTCGTTGTATAAAATAAATTGCGAAATGTCTGCGCTTTCCTGGGCTTTAAATTTAAAACTGGGCTATAAAACTATATACCCAAATTTGGAAATTTTGATTAAAATTTCTCTAATTTGTCTATATTTCATACTAGCAACTAATCGGCGTGCTTCTCTGCGACTTTAAATAATCTTTATGTTCTTACTCCCTCCCGAAACTTCTCATTAATAAAAAATAAGTTTGACACGCGGATGTTTTATCAATTTAACTGATTTAAGTTTGTCAAATAGGTGGCAAACCGCTTCAAAAATATTTTCGACAGTAAAATTTGTTAAACGTCTTTATTTTATACCCTTATTAATAATATTCCATTTATTTTATCAATTTAATTGAATAACATTTTTCAAACAGGTGACAATCCTCCTGAAAAATATTTTCTGCAGTAAAATTTCCCAAAACTCTTTAGTTTGATACCCAGTATTTAATTTATCTTCTCAATTAAATTAGATTAAAATTTTTAAACAGGTGGCAACCTTTCACAAAAACATTTTTGTCTGTAGGCCCTCATAAACCCCTTTCATTTGACAGGTATATTGCAATTTTCAAACAGGTGGCAACTCTCTATTATTTTCTATATTTTAAGTTAGACCGCTGGCAATACATCGGTGAAAACTGCATTTAATTTCATGCATTAGTTTTGGAATGCTACACGTACAAACATACAGGCAGACAGACCGACTAAAATTCTAAAAATATCTGATTTGGCTTTTGTTGCTCTAATAAAGACTGCCTATATTAGTTTTTCCTTAATATCTATAATGTACAGACATCGACATGTTACAATCTTATTATAGCTATAAATAAAGGTTGTGTTTAAAGTATGAACAGTGTATACTTTGATAAAAAAAACTACAAAAAAAATTTACCTTGAAAAACCTTGTGAATATTTACAAACAAATGACACAACCGGCTTCAATTCTGATATACAAAATTTGGAAGTACCTTTAATTAATTTCTGTTCCAATGATTGGATCTAAACCAAATTAGTATGTGACCACCCTTGTTGGACCACCTTTACAAAAAAAAAGATTGAAATCGGATATCGTGGTCCAAAGTTATACGGTAACATACATAAAGAAATATTCCTCCTCCTTTTTTTGAAATCGGTTTAAAAAATTACTTTATGTATATTCTATTACGACGAGGAGACCTATTTCACCGGAACTCTTCTCTATGAATTCAGAAACTCCGATTTTTAAATAATGTAGAGCAATAGTAACAGTATTAGATTAACCTATATCGGCCCTATCTCAGAAAACTTTTCAAGAACGCCCTATCTCAGCTTCCGATTCAAAAACGCCCTATCTGAACACATTTTCAATACATTTTTATTTGAGTTAGGTGGTTTTTGAACCGAATTCTGAGATAAGGCATTTTCCAACCAGCTGGCGATATAGGTCGATCTTTCACTCAGCCGTCGAAATATTTTAATGCTTTTCAACTTAAACAGATTCTAAGACTGTGTGAGTTCTTATTTTATTTAAAATCAGATCTAAGTTGGTCTATTTTGAAGAAAGATTGACAGCCGGGCATAAATTTGAAATTTAATATTAACAAAAATATTCTTTGCAAAAGAACTATGGTGACTTGTAGGCTTTCGAAGTTTACTCTCAGTCAATGTTTTTTATCAACAGTTTGTCAAACGTACACATACATCCATTATATTCTCTTGCTGAGACCTCCATTTCTCCCTCTCGCACACAGCCACACACACATAATTATATAAAAGTACTTATGTATATGAATAAATATTCGTGACTTCCAATTCTTCATCCAAAACATTCCAGTTGGAATTGCTGCCAAGTCACTAACTCGGCTCAAAGCGCTGAGGTGGCTTACCAAGCAGCACAAGATATTCCAGCTTCAGTTAATGTGAAGCATTTTTTGTGTGCGGACGTGTCGGCGGAATGTGAAGCAGCGACGTTGTATCACAGTTAACGTTAAAGTGTTTTCTAAATTATTTTCTCTCAGCATTCCTATTGGAGCGAGATCACCAACCTTGTTCTTGTTTTTTGTTTTTTTTTTTTGTTTTGGTGACTAGCGTGCATATGTATGCATAAGTATGTGTTAATCGCCATGTTAGCGTGAGTGTTTTACATAAACGTAGCTAACGAAAATTGTAAACAAAACAGAAGCGGTAAGAGAACTTGGCATTTGTGGATATACGCTTGTGTGTGAGCGCGAGAATACAAACCAAGAATAGCAAAGCAAAGCGGCTGAGCAAGTGACATGAAAATGATCGGCAGCGATTACGTACTGGAGGCGCATAACATTTTCCATACCACAGAGGTACAAATACAATGTAATCGGGAACAGAATAAACGTGTGTCAAATAAATAAATAATAATTAAAGTCTATTTATTATATAGCTAATTAGTTATATTTCTTTTATATAAAAAAAAAACAGCAAAATAATTGAAAAACACATCCTCAAGTTCGTGGCTAAAGTCTTTTGATTTCGGTTAAAAAATCCTTCTAATTTTTCACACAGGTGGATGGCGGTGGTTGCTTCAATGGCGGCGGCAGCTCGGCGCTTGTGCTCAAAGGTGTCAATTTAACTGTCCACAGTGGCGAAGTGATGGCCATTCTGGGTTCGAAAGGTAATACATCGCTATTTTATTTGTGTGAATGCTCTAATAATAATACGAATATTTCACACAGGAAGCGGTAAGCGTGCCTTGTTGGATGTCATTGCACGCCGTGCAGATGGTATGACGCGTGGTCAAGTATTACTCAATGGCTCACCGCTGACTAGAGGCCTCTTCCAGCAACGATGCGGCTATGTGACACAATCATGCACTTTCATACCTGGACTGACGGTGGNGAAGTGTTTTCTTAATTATTTTCTCTCAGCATTCCTATTGGAGCGAGATTACCAACCTTGTTCTTGTTTTTTGTTTTTTTTTTGTTTTGGTGACGACATGCTAGCGTGAGCGTGTTTTACATAAACGTAGCTAACGAAAATTGTAAACAAAACAGAAGCGGTAAGAGAACTTGGCATTTGTGGATATACGCTTGTGTGTGAGCGCGAGAATACAAACCAAGAATAGCAAAGCAAAGCGGCTGAGCAAGTGACATGAAAATGATCGGCAGCGATTACGTACTGGAGGCGCATAACATTTTCCATACCACAGAGGTACAAATACAATGTAATCGGGAACAGAATAAACGTGTGTCAAATAAATAAATAATAATTAAAGTCTATTTATTATATAACTAATTAGTTATATTTCTTTTATAAGAAGAAAAGTGAAAAATAGTTGAAAAACACAGCCTCAAGTTCGTGCCTAAAGTCTTTTGATTTCGGTTAAAAAATCCTTCTAATTTTCCACACAGGTCGATGGCGGTGGTTGCTTCAATGGCGGCGGCAGCTCGGCGCTTGTGCTCAAAGGTGTCAATTTAACTGTCCACAGTGGCGAAGTGATGGCCATTCTGGGTTCGAAAGGTAATACATCGCTATTTTATTTGTGTGTGAATGCTCTAATAATAATACGAATATTTCACACAGGAAGCGGTAAGCGTGCTTTGTTGGATGTCATTGCACGCCGTGCAGATGGTATGACGCGTGGTCAAGTATTACTCAATGGCTCACCGCTGACTAGAGGCCTCTTCCAGCAACGATGCGGCTATGTGACACAATNTAAAGTCTTTTGATTTCGGTTAAAAAATCCTTCTAATTTTTCACACAGGTGGATGGCGGTGGTTGCTTCAATGGCGGCGGCAGCTCGGCGCTTGTGCTCAAAGGTGTCAATTTAACTGTCCACAGTGGCGAAGTGATGGCCATTCTGGGTTCGAAAGGTAATACATCGCTATTTTATTTGTGTGTGAATGCTCTAATAATAATACGAATATTTCACACAGGAAGCGGTAAGCGTGCTTTGTTGGATGTCATTGCACGCCGTGCAGATGGTATGACGCGTGGTCAAGTATTACTCAATGGCTCACCGCTGACTAGAGGCCTCTTCCAGCAACGATGCGGCTATGTGACACAATCATGCACTTTCATACCTGGACTGACGGTGGCGCAAACACTACATTATACGCCAACAATAGTAAGAAGAGGAAATATTTTAACGCAATGCTTTTTTGGTTTTTTGTTTTTTGTTTATACACATATTTATTTGATTTTAATTTTCTATGTAGCTTTCGGGATATTTGAAAAGTTCAAAAGTACGCCAAGTCCTTGCCGATTTGGCGCTATCTCAAGTGGCTCACAAGCGTGTCGAATATTTGAATATGAGTGAGGCGCGTCGTTTAGCTATTGGCATACAACTTGTCAGAGATCCTGGTACGTACAATGACTTAAGAATTGATTTTTTTTATTTCTACAATTATTACTTAGTGGAGTGCTAGCGTCTGTCGAAATTCGACCGTTTTTCTAGTTTCTTAGAGTCCATTGGAAGCGAGTTCATTGGAAGTGATTAGTTGAAATGCCTCTCAGTCTCTTTTATTTCTAAACCTCAGTAGATTGTAATGCCACATGTGCGCAACATGATGCTAGTTTTCAACTAGGTTGCGCAAGTTAGACTTTTTCTTCTAGTGTGGTTTTGAAATAGAAGAGTCTGATGCTTTGTATTTTGACGTTTTGGAATGCGCCCATACTTTGACAATTCCAAAAATTTTGATTCCATAGTTGGCCTATTTTTTTCGATTTCGATAACTGCCAACAAATTTTGATTAATCAAAAAATACCGATAGCTCAATAATTTGAAACAACTCGATAACTACGATAACTCTATAAATTTTGATCACCCGATAAATACTGATTATTCAATAAATATCATGTATATATATAATACGCGAAAGGGATTTTTTGTCCTGGCCATCAGATCTGCACCGTTCGTACAATTTTCAGTAAGTTTTACTTTTTCGAATAGAGTTGCCACCTGCTAAAAATATCAATTCAAATTATTTAATAACCATCTTTCCGCAACGTTCGTTCGATTTCCAAAAATGAGATGTCAAATTAAAGGGCTTGGCCTTTAGATATGCAACAAATGTTGCCGAAACGGCTGCACGGATTTAGTAGAAATATAGCACTCGGATCGCTTATAACTTTGACTAACATTTTGAATATATTTTTAATTTGTGAAATACAATTTTGGGCGTTTCAACGCCATGCGGGTTCACTAGTATGAAATAAAAATTCAATAATACGATAAATTTTTATAACTCGATAACTATCGGCAAATTTCTACAACTAAGTGTCTGCGTCTCGATAACAAATTGAATAACTCGATACATTCCGATAATATTTTAACATGGCTGATCCCATATATTTCGATAACCAGAAACTTCGGTGATAAGAAATTTAATAAAATTCGATAACTAAATTTCTGAGACTGGATATATTTTGATACTCATCGAAAAATTTCAATGAATTTTTTTAGCCTTTCAGTTACCCTAATTTTTATGTATATATTAGGTATTCTCATTGTTTTCATTTTCGTCTTTATCTTTGATTTTGCCCTAATCATTTCTTTCTTCATCTTCACATTTATCTTTATTACAAAAAGTCATTTCAAATAAGAAGTAATAAAAATTTGAAAACAACTCAAATTTAATAAAAACGGAAATTTTTAAACGACGACCTAGGCCGCAATTTTCAACCAATTTTGAAGCCATACAAATTCTCCTCATCTACAGAAAAATACCTTTCCAAGTGGTGGATTTTTTCGTGTATAAATAATCACCAATCAAATATGTACTTATTTTCAAAATTCTCAATTCATATTTTTCTCTTTCAATTTTTTTTAGTAATGCTCCTTCTCGACGAACCCACCCAGGATTTAGATCCACTCAGCGCTTATTTGCTCATATCAATACTTTCGAACAGCGCCAAAAAAACTGGTTGTGGCATTTTGCTATCCTTGGAAAAGCCACGCTCCGATGTATTTCCCTTCCTCGATCGCGCGCTTTTCCTTTGTCTGGGTGGTGTAGTTTACTCTGGCGGTACGCGTGCAATGCTGGAATATTTTCATAGTATTGGATTTCCATGTCCGCAACTCGAGAACCCCCTGATGTATTATCTCTGCTTGTCAACCGTGGATCGCAGGTACATACATACATACATATGTGCTGAAAATTATAAAAAAATGCAAAAAAAATTTTTTATTCTACAGAAGCCGCGATCGCTTTTTGGAGTCCAGCCAACAGATTGAAGCCTTGGTGGAGCGCTTTTCACGCGAAACTCCCCTATCTGATGCGCCACTTAACACAATGGGTAACGGTAAAGTACCGCTGGCCTATGGAAAACCTGGCGAACTAAAAGTTTGGATTATGTTGTATTTGTAAGTAATGCGTTCTAAGGGGGTGATTCTCTAACGACATTCATATCATGCGTCAACAAGTGCGATTGTTGCGACAAGAAAATTGTCGCTAACTGGTTACAGAATCTCCGCACTAAAGTTTTTATAACTTTAAATAGTATACTCTCATTCCGTTCCATTTAGAAAATTGCTCGCTTCTACGTTTTCCTGTGGCATGGCTGGCATGAAGGCACTCTTTTTGCGTCTACTGTTACTACCGTTGGCGATGGCGCTTATGTGGCTCTTCTACACAAATGTTGGCGTAAGTTGTTACCAAAATTTGTTTATCTTGTTACTTAAAACGAGCAATTGTTCTATATACATATATGTATGTATATTAAGTGACGTGTTGACCAGTTTTGGCTATTTTTCATTTGTCTATTTAATGTTTTTAACTTTTTTTGTAACCAGCCGCATATGAAAAATTCAACAAATTTTAAAAATTTTAAACTTTTTATTAAACATCTTTAGGAACATTCTAGGTATGCAGTTTTATAGCCCATTAAGTTTAGTAGTTTAAGTGCAAATTTTGAGACACTAGAAAATCGCGTTGACTGTTAATAATTTTTTTAGCTCGATAAATATTTTTATATGGAGGAAAATGCCTAGCACCGTCAGCAAAAAAAAATATATTCTAGCGTTAGCTTACTAAAATTTGACTTGAAATTTTGACTTATTATTAAAATTCATTAAAAAAAAATTATAATGACGCGGAGTTACATATATAAAGCTGGTCAAAGTCAAAGTTTTGTCGAATTTTTCCGATTTACAAAAGTATTATGGATGTAAATTTAAAATTTTGGTCGGTGCCGGTATTTTGTACTTCAGCGAAATAAAGGGGGCTACATGATGTTGATATTTTTAAAGATCGCCCTAATATACATACATACTAGGGGTTTACGACGACAGGCTTTTCGCGTCTGCAAACGCGGGCGATACTGCCCATAAGGTAGATTCCAAAGAGCCATGAGGCTTCTAATGGATGGGTGAACAGAAGAAAGTCTCAAGTTACATACCTAATGACAGTACGAATGGCAATTATAATAGGGAGGTTTAGTTTTTTAAACTATAATTTTTTAAAGGTCATTTAGAGGTCGCGGCCTGTCGCTTTAGGTCAGAAAATACGATTTTCTAGATTCATGAGTTTTTGAATGACTATTTCTGCTTGAATTTCAAAGAATTTTTTAAATTTTGACCATCGATAATTTCCACAATTTGAAAATATGTAGTACTAACGTACAAAAAAACGATTTTCGATGGGCACCCTAATATACATACATCTCTATGTACTCTACAAATCAGAATGTACTATTTCAATTTAAAGAAATAAAAAAATTTAAAGGTTAAGTTATTGGGGTAATTTATGTCGCTATCAATAAATAAATTTTTGCAATAAGCTTATCAACCGTTATGTTAAATTACGGAGTTCTTACGATTTTTTGCGGGTTATACATATATTTAAAACAAGGTTGGTCTACCTTTTTCCAAAAGTTTAACCCATTAACTACCACCAGAGCGGGCCTTTTTGACCCCCTGTTTTAAAAATGGCTTATAAATAGGTTAATTTTCCACTAATATATATATTAAGCGCCAAATTCTTCTAAGGAGAACAGAATGAAATGCAAAATAATAGTAATTTTTACCAAAAAATGGGGTCTTTAACTCTGTGTAGAAAATATTGCGATGAGCGGGAGCAAAACCTTCCTGGGGTTTGACCACTACTTAGGAATACTGACGTAATTTTCACACAGCTACCTAGTTCTTGTATACGTCTATGGGACCCCAGAATAAAGCGACTTACGAATGTAAAAATTAGCAAAAAAAGGTTTGCTTTTTATAAAAATTCTGTTAAAAATATTAAAAAAAACACACAGGAAAATCAACTAGTCTTCCTAGACTCCCCCGTACTGCAGGGTAGCGATTGACTCCAGCAGTACTGGAGGGAAGAATTTGTACCGTATTAAATTCAACGAGCATTTTTGTATGTATGTATATGCAGTGCATACACCCAAAATACGTACTCTTTGTCCCGGCGTATTTCTAAATACGGTTGCTACCTAAATTTTAATATAAGATATTTATTTGATTTATTAGCTTTTGTAGCGTGTTCTCAAGTAGGATTTAAAATATATCAGCCCTTCAAGCACAAAATTAAGAACAAAATTTATGTCTAAAAATTACATATATAATTTTTAAAACCCATTTGAGAAAACGTCCATTAGTAAGTCAAATTCTTTAAAATTTATTTCCAAATTATTCTTTTTGCAGAATTCTGAGATACTGCATAGGCGTAAACATTGAGAATATTTTTGTTTATCATATTGGTTGTTTATTATATTGGTTCAATGAATGCTGAGGTGCTTATTAGACTAAAATACTTATTAACGCATTGATATTTTTTTAACATGTAAGATATGTATATCGTAATGTTAAAAATATTACATAAATAAAAAAAATTATTTATAACTTTAAGCTATTTAAATGAACACTATTTAATACCCAAACCTGGGAAACTTTAAAAAGTATATTCACTCCGAGCAAAGCTCAGCCAACCTGGCACTAAGTATTGAATATTAAATTTTTTCATTCTTTTTCTTTTTTGTTTTAGGATGATTCGCATGGCTTCTTCAGCAAAAACGGCATGATTCTCAATATTATTGGCTTGGCATATGGCTGTGGCATTCTCAGCACAATCTCACTATGTACTTAGATAAATAATCCAAAATGAATTCGTAAAAATCGTAAATTCAAAAATTCTCCTCTACTTTAGTTCCAATATGGCGCAAACGATTTTCACAGGATACACCCGAAGGCCTGTACTCAGGCG